TTTAGTTACAATATTTCGATTAATAATATCGATTATCATTGATTATGTTTGATCAAATGTTGATAAAATACTTTGATCATTATCAAGAATTGTTTTCTTTTCTCGGATTAAAAACATATAATCATCAACAGAAGTATCGATTATATGTAACAGAGTTTTTAGCCAAAGATTAATTTGTTGCCATTTTGTTGTTGAATAAAATAAACTCATCATTTGATTTTGATCTATAGAAAACAAAAAATATGATTGAATATTTTCTAAAATTTTAACTATGAATTTTTGAGTCACTATCAATTATTTATAGTTGTCAAAATTGGATTTTTACTATCGGACATAACAATATTAGTTATCTCGATTTCTGTAATATTCATAAGATTTGAAGAAGTTCTTCATGAATATTTTCAAAATACCAAGTTTTTATCCTTACCAGTTATATTTATGATTCAATAGAAATATTCTAAAATGTGAAAATTTTATATGAAATCCAGTTTTCTTTCGATTGGTTATTGGTGTAATTTGAACATAGGTCATTATTCAAAGTTCTAGAAATGAGTAACAAGAATAATTCTCTATTCATCTTGAAATATTTATGAACAACTTCTTCAAATCTAAAGAAAGTTATACAGATCAATATCTGCAGCATTGATTTAAACGATACTGAAAAGATGATTTTGGTAGTTGTAATGGATCAAAAACTATTCAAAGAATCGTAGTCAGTATTTAAATAAAGATATGACAAAAATTCTATCAATAGTTTTTCTTTTGATTATTATTACCTTCGTTGTAATGTAAAGCAAGTTCATATAAAATGTTAACATTTGATATTTCTTCTGTTACGAAAATTGATACTGTTTTATGATGTGTTTTACAAAGACCATTGATGATTCCATCATCAATACATTTGCCAAATTCATCAAAGAAACAAAGAATTCTATCTGATGATAAAGATTCAAGTTGTTTCTCATCAATAAAATGATGAATAATAGTTGAAATTTTACATTTCGATGTAGTGAAATATTCAGATATATTTGATCGAAAATGAATTTGAATTTGAATCAAATATTGTTTTTCAATACTATAATATTCTAAAAGTGATGGATCTGATGATGATCGATAATTATTCTTTGTAAAATCAATAAAAATTTCATTTTTATTGACAACAACAAATAAATCGTGATCATATTTTTTCTCATTAAATAACATTTGTAATTTTTTACAAAAATTTTCATTTTTCCATAAATATGTTTTTGATTCTCCATTTGGATGTATAATTGTAAATTTTTGTGCTTTATTTGAAATAATTGATTTTATTGATGGTTCTTCTCGATATTTATGTATTTGTTGAAAAAATATTGATGATGTACATGGAACCGATTTTAAATTTAATGTCATTAAAGATATATATTTAATATCATTTTCAGAGAAATCTTCAGATTTACTTCCTTGTTGATTTACAGATGAATCTATATGATGTAAATAATGTTGATTTTTTAAATCAAAATTTGATTCTGAAGTAATTTTCCAAGTGTTCATTTCATTCATATTTTGTTTATCATATTGTAAATTTAAATATTGATAAAAATGATTTTCTGATTGATCTTGTTGTTCATATGAATTAAAATTTTCATTCCATAATTTTATTTGTTGTTTTTCTATGTTAAATTTTTTTTCTTGAAGTTTTGATCTTGTACAAATCAAATGAATATAAAGATCAACATAATTTTCACATTTAATTCTATTTGGTAACCATAAAATAATTGGATTATCAATTGCTAAATATCATATCAACCTGTCGAAAATTTTTTTTTGCGTGCAGAGTGGATA